AAATGAATGGTGGGACTTTGATTGGGATTCTACTGAAGGGCATAGATCAGGTTGGGTAGAATTGCCATCTTAACAATATTGACTTTTACCATGCAGGCACCTTTGGGTTCTTTGATTAGACTTTTGCCCTTTTCCTCAACTGTATCCTTTGCAAAGCTGATATTCTCCCATGTAAACTATCCATCAATCAATTCACACTAAAAGGGGTATTACAACTTGCCTAGTGAAAGAGATTTCCAGTGGAGTCTTTGTAGTGTATAAGACCTCCGGTGAAATCCTGATCCCCATCTAGAAGCTATCTTTTTGTTGTTGTCCGGTGCCATGGAGTCATGATCCCCACAATCGAAAGCTTTTGTGTAGTCAATAAAGCACAGGTAAATGTCTTTCTGATATTCTCTGCTTTCAGCCAAGACCCATCAGACATCAGCAAAGATATCTCTCGTTCCACGGCATCTTCTGAATCTGGCTTGAACCTCTGGTAGTTCTCTGTCAATGTACGGTTGCAGCCATTTCTGTATTACCTTTAGTAAAACTTTACTCTCATGGGCTATCAAAGATATTGTCCAATGATTTCAGCATTCCGCTGGGTCACCTCTCTTTGGAATGGGCACAAATATGGATCTCTTCCAGTCAGTCAGCCAAATTTCTAGGCAGAGATGAGTGTCTCCTGTGCTGTGTCACTTTCTTGAAAGATTTCCATTTTCACTCCATCAATTCCTGGTACTTTGTTCTTTGCCAATTCCTTCAATGCACCTTGGACTTCTTCCTTCAGGACAATTGGCTCTTGATCATATGCTACCTCTTGAAATGGTTGAACATCCACCATTTCATTTTGGTACAGTGACTCTGTGTATTCCTTCCATCTTATTTTGATGCTTTCTGCATCATTCAATAATTTGAACAGAGAATCCTTCAATAACGACATTGAGGCTTTAGAAAGATCTGACTCCAGATCTTTGTATATTTCCTTATAGCACTTAAGTTTGTCTTCTTGAGCTGCCCTTTGAAATTTACTGTTCAACTCTTGTACCTCCTAATTTCTTCCATTTGCTTTAGCATCTCTACACTGGAGAGCAAGTTTCAGTGTCTCTTTGGGCATCCATTTTGACCTTTTGCTTCTTTCTTATCTTCTTAATGAACTTTTGCATTCTTCCTGTATGATGATCTTGATGCCGTCCCACAACTCTTCTGGTCTTCTGTCTTTTGTGTCTAATGTATCCAATCTGTACAGTAGAAAGTTTAAAATTATATCCAAATGAATGAGTGATCCACAGGGAATTCAATTACAAGCATGAATATGTTCTTCCTCACATTCACCCATGTCTATAAAGACTACTGTGTGTTTATCAGTGAGAGACCCAGCTACATGGGTGACCCCACAACTTCAGCATTGGACCCCTGACTCCCTGAAGAAGTTTATGTTCAAGTATGTCAGCCAGGCCAGACCTGGTTTCTTCCATGCTCAGGAATAAATCAGTCTTCCCGATTCAGATCTTGTTTGCCTGGAGCTACATGAAGAATGCAGGCTTGAGTTCTGGAGGTTGGAGCCTCTTCTTCCTTTAGTGGAAATGTCCTCGGGGTGGGGTGTTGTCCTGAGTCAGAGAGGAAGCCAGAAACTGGTCACTCCGTGCTTAATCAAAGCACGGAGTCTCCTCCCTACCCTTCTTCCACTTAATGTCTTTAGGGTGGAGCCAGGACAAATAGTTCAGTCCAGGCAGCTGGGGACCTAAGGTGGCCCTATTGAACCGTCATAAACTACAAGAGCTCTGACAGATATGTGGACCAAAAATCATTCATCTGTTTCCAAACTAACCAGTGATTCCACCACCAACCTGGACCCTTGCATACATACACATATGTAGCAGTTCAAGCTTTGGACACCCGGAGTCAACTTTCTTTTGTGACCCTGAGAGCTGCCACCATCGTAGAGTGTGAGAGTCACCATCCCTGACCTTGGTGGTCTATGTTGGATGGCAGCGTGTTAACCAGAGCAGGAAGATGGAGCAATTCTGAGTGAAGACACTGGAACCCAGGCCACCAGAGGTCTTCTTGTCCCATGTGAACAATTTCCTTGACTTCCCCTAGATACTGT